AAACCATTTCAGGTGACTACCTCTTGAAGCTCATGGAGAGAATGCCAAGAGTGTGCAAAGCAGTAATCAGAGCAAAGGGTGGCTATTTTGAAGAAACTAGAATATAAAACATGTTTTCAGTTATTTCACCTTTTTTTGTTAAGTACATAACTCCACATGTGTTCATTCATAGTTTTGATGCCTTCAGTGAGAATCTACAATGTAAATAGTCATGAAAATAAAGAAAACGCATTGAATGAGAAGGTGTGTCCAAACTTTTGGCCTGTACTGTATATCGGTTGTAAATATCGGCTATCGGCATCTCTGTTTCATAATAATCGGTATCGGTATGGCTCTGAAAAAACATATCAGTCGATCCCTATCATCCACAACACCCATCAATATCATCACCATGCCTTCAGGTGGAGTTGTTTGTGCTTAACATCTATCAATCTTTGGTTTTAGGTGGATTACAATAATAAACTACACTAGTTTGGAGGACTATATTCCATTTACACTAATGTAAGGAGAGGTTGTTAACTCAAGTAACGTCACCCTTGTCAGTGGCGTTTCCCTAGCCTCCTTTCTCTCTGCCCCGTGTCTGTGTGCACTGGTGAGACACACAGCAGATTAGAGAAGAAGGAGGGAGAGAGACGCAGCCGATCTATAGGAAACCGCAATAAAGGCTCTCACACTGAGCTCAAATGAAACAAGTGCACATAAACTTGGTAAATAACATCAATAAACTGGGGGGTGGGGGATCCCGTTGGTAGAGGAAACACCTGTTCCACAGCAAATAAGTCAACACCTGAATGCAGCACGACATGAATGCATGGGGAAATAGGAGTGAGTGAATCTTCATCATATAGAAATGACACAGCACATTTAAATCGAGATCATGATTTTAATCGTGTAGCCCTACTATCCATTGAACAGAGTTAAGATGCATGCACTTGCCCAGCTGCACTACTGGTCCTTGAGTGAGACTGTTTATGCAAGTGTTTTAAATAGTAGGGATCGACCGATATGGGTTTTTTAGGACCGATACCGATTATTAGTAGTCAAGGAAACCGATAACCGATATTTAGAACCGATATTCATTTGCAGTAAAAATTAAAATTTTGGTGTCAAAATTTAGAATAACACACCTGGGATTAGACTGAATACAACAGTATACTGTTTGTTTTTGTACACTGAAAATCTGTGATAGAAAGACCTTAAACATTTGTAGAATAACACAAACTCTGGCGCAAATCTTGGTTGAAATGGTTGGTTGTTTTATTATATAAAAAACAAAAAGTGCAGAGATCTCTTAAAGTTCACTGAAAATGAAATGGCTCCCTGATTTTTTTATAAGATCAAAGTAAAAACTGAACTGCACAGTACTGAAATTTGAGTCTCGGCAATAAGTTAAATTATCTAAAAACAAAACGTTCAGGGATCTTCTAGCAGCATTTATAAAAGTTCACTGAAATAAATAACAGTTAATTAATGATGTCTTATGTTCTCTCTGAGGTACATCTGATCCAGCCTGATTAAGTGCAAACCAATAAAGAGGGTGGCAGGAACAGGAACCTTGGCTCACTTCATTTATTGATAGCTTTAGTAGTTATTACATTTCAGATTATTTATTTATTTATTTATTTATTGTTTACATCAAATAGCATAATTAGTTTATAAAGATTAATCTTTCAGTGGTTACAGGCTTATTTTTATTTAAGTAATTTGTAATTACATGTATTTAATATACCAGTCACATTTCATTTTTTCAGCAAAATAAGTACTTTTACTTTAATGCCAAGTAAATTTAATTGATATTCTTCTATACTTTTTGCATGTCTAAATGAACTAATGAAGCCTACAAAACAACTTCACATCAGTTGCTGAAGCTAGCGTGCATGTACACAGACACACACGCGCACACCACACACACACACACAGTCCATGTCAACATGGCTGCACACAGACGACAGTTTCTTCTCAGCGCGACACACACACACACACACACACACACACACACACACACAAGCATACCGGCCATACACAGCTGAAATGCACTACATGTCCGTTAGCTTTAGCAGCCGATGTGAAGTATTTTTTGACGATATTATTGTTTCTAATGGCTGCCTGTTGGGACTCGCGAGCAACCGCGTGAGGGGGGGAACAGACACTGAGATACAGTATGAAGATGGCGTGTTTATCAAGCATCAACAGTGGTGTCTTTAAAACTTCAGCATAGAGGATTTCTTATTGCAACTTTTACATTTTCTGTTGCCTTGCCTTCAAACATCACACTGCTGCTTCACGGAGCAGTCCTCTCTCCCCTCCTCTCTCTCTGTGCCGCTGCAGCGCTGCATCTACCTTCAGTGTTGATTGGCTGTCTCTCACTTGTGCCGTGTAGCCAATCAGTGGGGGCTGTAGGCGGGACATTTGTTACACAGCACAGAGTGCTGAATATCGGCCGATATTATCGGCAGTGCGGATTATTGGTCGATCCCTAATAAATAGTAAGATTTTAATGAAAATGCATGGGTTTGGGAAGTACTGAGCATACCACTGGATATATGAGACTTGGATTATACTGCACAAGTTATGTGAGTTTGCAAATAGATGTTTTGATATAGTTTTGCTGTTGTTAAATGCCCTTCGCCCCTTACTTCAGTTCATCAGGAATTTATCCGTTTTTTGCATCCTCCCTTTATTGTGGAGGTGTATGAGAAAAACAAAGTAACACAGGCTGAGTAACTGATGCAAAGATGGTCATCTTATGGGTTAAGTATTCCTTAAAAACAGAAGGAATAGGCATGGGAAAAAAAGCTGCATAGCATTTGAATGTTGATTTAAAAGTCAAATGTCAACATGGGGCGCCGGTGGCTTAGTGGTAGAGCAGGCGCCCCATGTACAAGGTTGTTGCCACAGCGGCCCAGACTCGACTCCGGCCTGTGGCCCTTTGCTGCATGTCACTCCCTCTCTCTCTCTCCCCCCTTCATGCTTGTCTGTCCTATACATTAAAGGCTAAAAAAGCCCAAAAAATATCTTAAAAAAAAAAGTCAAATGTCAACATTATGGATGAAGCTTTAAAGCTTTGATTTGATTTTCATGGCTATCTGGACAGCACTCAGCACTTCACTGTAGCTATCATCTCAGAGTAACCATCATGCTTAATGGTACATGGTGTGACATCACTGTGGCTTACCTCTGCAACTTTATGGGGAACTCCATCTCCCAGCACTTCTCTGTAAAAGCATTGCTGGGTCATGTAATAGGTGAGGCCGCTGGTTCTCTTGAAGGCATCTTTCAGCCGCTTCAATTCCACATCAGTGACTGGAGAGAGAAAGACAGGAACACAAATGTGATTATTAATGTGGTATGCTTTGTTTCTTCAATTCAAAAAAAAATTGTAAACTACAGGAAATATGAGGGGTTGGGGTAAAATCGATAAAGCATAGTATCACAAAATTTTTGTGTGGCAATATTGTATCACTGCATGGATGACAAGTATTGATTTTTTAATTATATTAATGATTAATATTACAAATACAAATATAACTTTTGGTAGACAACTAGATTAGTACAATCACTTTTTCAGTTCACTAGATACATTTTGCGGCAATAAAAATAACTGAAGTGAGAAAAACAGTTTATCTATAATACAGATAATACAGAGGTTGACAAAGTTTTCCTTTGGGGACATAATTTGCAGGTGAAAAAAGGGTAATAAATCTCAATATATCACAATATATCACAATATATGATATTGCAATTCTCCGCATATCACAAGACGTTTAAAAATCGTAACAATGTTGTGATGTAACTTATGTTCATGATAATAATGTTTCGTGGGGTCTCTGATGATTCCCACTCCTAGAAGGTACAGCAAAAAATACAATAACAGTGTATGTAATAATCCATCCTAATGTAACTTTAACTTTAATGGTAAATGGACCTGCATTTGTATAGTGCCTTTCTAGTCATCCGACCACTCAAAGTGCTTTTTACACTACGAGTAACATTCGCGAGACCGTGAGACATGGGCACCCCGTTCATGTGTGCTCACGTGCTTTCGCTGGTCTCGTGCGCAAGCGCGCACACGTGAGCTTAGTGCACAGAGAGGCAGTTAGAGCTGCAGGCTACAATGAGGCTAAAAACAGAGTTCAAATGACGTTTTTCCAAACAACTTTTTATGTCGGGGCTTCAAGACACTTGGATCACTACGGACAAGCAATATGGAGATATTTTGTGGTTTCAATTATGTGTTTTTGGATGTCTGAATCTGGGGCGCAATAAGCCTCCATTAGGTGGAGTTGTGTTGCTACCCCCTCTCCCCTGGGATCTCCGCAAGTGACATGAGGACTCTAAAACTTCACCTGAGCCTCCATCGGCATATGGGTGAGTAGATAATGGCTGAATTTTCATTTTTGGGTGCACTATCTCTTTAAGGATACTTCAACATGCAGACTGGAGGAGCAGAAGATCGAACCACTGATCTTTCGATAGGTGGACGACTTGCTCTACCTCTTATTCACAGCCTCCCTCAACTTTAGCCAGGTTTCACTATTTTCTACCAACTGATCTAGGTTATCGTAATTGACCAGGACATTATGTGTGCTGTTAGATAGGGCTGAGCAATAAATCGATTTTATCGATTAATTCGAATTTGTAGCTTAGGTCGATTTGTTTTAATGAAAATTGAGTTTCTCTTTAACATCCGCCACCGACGCACCCTGCTGGGCTCTCGTAGTTCAGAGTGAGCTACAACCCTTCAATCAGGTAGAGAGAGGCAGTTGCATCAGAGCCAAAGTAGTGCATTTTTTAAATAGTGTATTTTATCATCTTATGGATGAAAAACAAAGTCATGATTGCAATAATTAAAAAAAGCAGAATATCACAACTGCTAATCTCCCAGGCCGATAATTAGCAATCCTTAGTTTCATTTGATGAATGTAAACTACCATCTCAGCTGGCTCTCACTTCTTTCACTAAGTCACTTTAGTAGGGGTGGGGGAAAAAAACTTTTTTTTATATTAATTGCAATTTTTTTTCTTGGACAATTCTAAAAATCGATTCTCTCCCCAGAATCAATATTTTTCTATTTATTTTAGGCCTTTTTTTTCACCGATAACCAATAAAATACGTTTATTTTAAAACGCGCTCCTCTGGCTCTGATACACCCATCTCTATAGAGCTCGTAAGCTGCATGTTTCCATTTCCAGTACATGGGACCTTAAAAATTGATTTCTCTTAATGTGTTTCAATGGCTAGATGAAAATTATTTTCTGGTCCCGTTTGAATTGTGCCATGAATTTCACATATGTTGTTTGTGAATTTTTAATATATTTTTTGTGCAAAGAAGGCTACAATTTAGCGGGAAGAAGTTTGATACTGTTAGGTTTTGTGTGAGAGCGCTTTGTGGACTACAGCTCTTTGCTGCTCTCAATGCGTAAGATATACATCACCACTCGCACTTGGAACATGGCTGTGTCTCTGGTACACTTCACCGACTTCTTCAAAGGAGAGGAGAAAAGCCTTAAGCGTGGCGAAAACCACTACAAGTCTGGACATGTTGAAAGTTTCAGCACACCGGCATCTTGATGTGATGGCTCCGTAGATTGTGGCAGAAGATGCAGCAGCAGCATTGTGAGTTGAGAAGTGGAGGGAAAGTGTGATGACGTGACGTCACATAGGCAACATGTAGTCTTTCTCATTACGTTGTTTCCACAGCCTTTAACTGAAGAATCATACAATAAACTGTCAAACTCTTAACATGAAAAAATATTATTTAGACCCACACAAAACATTTGTGTAATCCAAGGCATTTAATGACTGGGACCAGAAAATAATAATTTTCTCTCCATTTACTCCCATTTTCCGAGCCTAGAGGTCTGATGAGGGTCTACGAGAAGGGGCCTGACTTACGAACTCTATGCCTTAAGTCTCCAGTCTTGGCTGTGTAACAATGTCCCGCCTACAGCCCCCACTGATTGGTTACACTGATTGATAACATGGAACAAGTGATAGCCAATCAACACTGAAGCTTCTACATGCAGCGCCACAGACTTGGAGGAGAAGCACACTGCTCCGTGAGCCACAGCAAAAAAAAATATTTAGGCGAATCGTCATCAAGTGACTGAAGTACTTAATAAAAAGGAGACAAAAGTTAACTCAAAATATAGCTGGGATGAGTGCCACAAATGTGGAAAAACAATTAGCGCATGGTCCGCTAGCATAATGCTAACATATAATGGAAATCTTCATAGACGCGCTAACAGAAATNCACAAATGTGGAAAAACAATTAGCGCATGGTCCGCTAGCATAATGCTAACATATAATGGAAATCTTCATAGACGCGCTAACAGAAATTAGCATCGGCGCGGCAACGGCATTACAATGACAAACAATAAAGTGCAAATGAGCAACTCTACATAACATAAGCAAATAACGTCAGAGCAATACTTTTTTACTTGCAGACATATGTTTCCTGCGCACTAAACCAAGACGGTCCACTGCGAGTCAGTTTCCTGTATCAGTGTCACGTGGGGTTCGCGACCACCATGCCCCTTTAGGAGACTAAACAGCAGGTCCTGAGTCCATTGACTTCAGTGGGAGAAATAAACGGGATTACAGATTATGGCCGATTCTTTCGCCCCATAGTCACGGAAGCAGATATTGGACCCATTTTTCACAAGCTACATATCTTCAGAACATTCCGACACCAAAATGGCAAATTTCAGACGGACAAATCAGAAGAAAATTTACTTTGTTCAAGACCTGTCTCTGTCTCAACAACACAGTCTCGCGAGATCTGGCAACAGGTATCTCCTCTCAGGTGCTGAAATCAGTGCAGTTTCACCAAAGATACTGGATTACTAAAAATATTTTTTTCCAGCGGATGTCTTAGTTACAACATGATTGAGCTAACTGGAGTAGTTTCATGTCCTATCCGACAACAGGAGGCTTTTAACAGATGACATCCTGATGTTAGCTTTGCTGCTGCTGTTAGCTGTCCCTGTCAGCTGCAGCCACTGATGCTTTCTAGACATCGTGATTTCCCAAAACTGAATAAATACCACACATAGCAACACAAAACTGCTTTGCTAGCTCAATCATGTTGTAACTAAGATGTCTGCTGGAAAAAATATTTTTTTCACGGACCGTTTATTGAGTTACTGAGTTATTACAGACACTGCTAACGGCTAACGGTTAGCCCAGCTAATCTACGATAACCAAACGAGGTTGGGGATACTCGTCTTTGATGGGTGGTTCTCCATTGTCTTTGATTGGGCTACAGGGGACAACGCCTACTTAGGAGACTGGAAATGTATACCATTTCATACAATGGGGGTATATTGTAGGTGGGCCATCTTGTAGTAATCTAGTATCTTTGCTTTAGCCTTGTTGTTGTGCACTACTTCAAGTCTGCATATTCTTCTTCTAACACTACTCAAAACTGAAAAGGTATAATGACTTAAACTCAACTCGTGCACCACCTAGTGGTGTGGTGGAGCCGCTGCATCAAAAGAGGCGAGACAGTAATTTTTAATATATAACGTTACCAACCAAGCCCCAAGCAATAACCAAGCAATACTTGTAAAATTGCAATTATTCAGAATCGCAATATAAATCTAATCGGGACCCAAGAATCATGACAGAATCGAATCGGGACAAAAGCTAATCGTCCCAGCCCTACAATTTAGACAGCAATATATCAAGGTATTGTACTGAAAAACCAAAGATAAGTAAAGAAAATGTCTAGTTTGTAAATAAGGGGGAAGAAGAGATCTATCGTACCACAGAGCCAACTTGATGACAAAATATTTCTACCACAGTTAGATAGATAATAGCAAAATTGTTACAATTAGATGGACAAACGGGGAAGGAAAATAAGCAGTCCACATTATAGAGAACACTGTGTATTGTTGATGCTGTGATGCAATGGATGTATTCTCCGACACTGGGCTGCACTAACTCAACAGTTACCATTCATTGCAGAGCAAACAGTGAGTGGGATTTCTGCAACTGCCCCAGAACACTTTCCATTCATGTACTCCCTCCACACACACACACACACACACACACACACACACACACACACACACACATCATCATCATCGGCGATCACACTCACACTCATTAAAAGCAAATTTTCAGTGTTAGATCACCTTTGAATGATCATGGCAGCAGAGCAGCAGCCAGCAAAGCCTTCTGCTGTGACTCAATGTTTGCCCTCCTATGAAATAAGCTGGGTCTGGCCGGCCTGCAGCTACTAGCAACACTGGAAACACTGCTACAGTGAAGTTGTTGCAAAACCGCTTTCCATGGACGA